GGGGGGGGGGGGGGGGTTGGAGCTTGAGGAGTTTGAAATAGGAACAGAGTAAAATTTCTGGATACCAAGTCTCTCTTAGCTGCCTAATAGATTAGACTAACATCTGAATGTAAAGCATCCTCATTAGCCTTTCAACTGAGCTAGCACCTATGGTAGTTGCTTTCTCCAAGACACCAAAAAGGGATTTAATATCCGAGTGAAAGTTCTTAGGAGATTAATTTGAATATTTTTTGTTTGTTAATAAAAGATATTTCAGGGTTAAGAAGAAAAGACTTAACCATGCAGTGAAATCACCATACTTAATTTGTAACATCATGTTAATTTGTGTAGTAATAGATTATGATCTCATTGCAGGATGAAGTGGAAGGAAATGCTGATGCATCATAGAACCTTCAAGTACCAAGCAAGAGAGAATATGATTGGCTTAACAATTGCTGTTAAGTAATCTTTTATTTCAAGTTTACAAAGACTTATCTGTTGCTTTTGTGAGGTTTATGATTATTGGTGGGAGTCTTCTTAAACAATTCTCAGTGCTGTCTACTTTGATTTTTGTTAAATAATTAGAGAAACCTATCACCTATAACTTTTTCCTGGGTCTTTGTTGATTGGTTGTGTGAATCCCCTGAAACTTGAGATTTTTCAGGTCTGTGTGGGATGGCTTCTCTGGCAACGTAATGCTAGATGTAGGGAAAAAAGTGTTCAATTGTGTTTGTACATTTTTCTGTGATGAAGTGTTGGGATTTGTGTAATTTGTTCTCTTCATATCATAGGCAGCACATTTTTCTTTAATGATGTAGCAAAAAGTGTGTCTACTTGAGAGCAGACGTGCATTTTTGTGGCTAAAAACAGCAATTGTTTAGTTCTCTGAGAACCAGTACGCAGTATCTAAGCAAACATTCTGCAGTGATACAACATGCCATAACAACAATTCAAAATACAACAATATTAATGTGTCTGAATAGTCAGCTGGGTTACGTATTTCTCTTACAGCCATTTAATTAGAAACATACAATGAAAAGCATGCTTGAACCTCTGCTGTAAAAAGCCTGAAATTATCGTAAAAGAATGCATTAAGAGTCTGCAATATTTTGATCAAATTCCCCCTGAAACACCTTACAAAGGTATTAAATTAGCAATGTATTTTTTGCTTAAAACTGTTGGAAGTGCCTTTAGATAGTCATATTTGTAAAACTGTATTTCTGCTTACTGCTGACTTACTGTTATCCTTCTGGTACCTTCAAACATAGAATGCTAGAGAAAAGAACAAAAAAGGAATCATAAATTGTAAAAACTTTGTAACATATCATGAGTTTCTCACAGAAAGGATTCTATGTTTTGAAAGGTAGGGGTGTATGCATACATCTCTGGGTTCACAAAGACTTACTGTTTTCCATGTTCCTTTTTGTTATCTCATTTAGTAAAACTCAAGGGGAAAAAATAGATGTCCTAATATGTAAATACATTCACAGGTCAAGCAACATATTGCTTCTTCTCTCAAAAGATTTTCAGTGTACATACATGTCCAAAGGTCTCGTTTACATTAATTTCCCTACAGTACACTACATACCATTACTTGCCTCCTTAAAAATTTTAATATGGCAAGAATGCCAGTGACCACTGATGTTTCTAGTTAGCTTGTCATCTAGACTTGCTCTTAACAGTCTTAGATAAGTTAATGACAGTTCATGTATAAAAGCAGGGCCACTGTTATGGTAATTTTAATGAAACACAAACTACTGAGAAGATGCATTTGGAACAAAAATTCCTATATGCTCTTTCACTACTATATGTATGTGAAGGGTATAGCCATAATCCTAAGAAATGTGGGCAGGAGGAATCTATTGAATTGCTTTATTCCACTGAAGAATTTAAAGGGCAAAATCTCCATTTTCCTAAGACTTAAGATAACTCTAAAAAGCACATCCTGTACAAACTTTTTAGTTAGATTGGCAGAAAGACTTTAGCTATGTCTTACTACAAATATATTCTATTACTATTAATCCAATTTTAAGTAAGCTTTCTTACTGAAGCAGTCTTGAATACACTGCATACAAAAATGCATTTTCTTGTGTTATGCATGCCAATTAAGGTATGTGATTCTGAATTAATGTTTTTTTTTCTCCCAGTACAGGAGGAGAAAAACCATAGTTCTGTGGTTATGACATTACAATTTGGAGCTAAAATGTTACTGTGATGTCAGATATCTGCTATTATGGACTACGTTTACCTCTGATGTAAGTTCCCATTTCCCCCCCTTAGTATCCTTCTACTTTTGTCTGTGTTCTACCCCACCTGTGTAGAACAAACTTCCCACCCAGTCTCACTCCTGCCCTCTTTATTTTAATTCTTGTGTTCCTTCCATCAGACACAAACACTAATCCACATCTATCAAAGCCATCTCAAACCCAACATTACATAAATAATAAAGAGAAGCCATAGGACAAGAGGAATATGAAGGAAAAAATAGCTTGCTTTCTCCTCTGGGTCTCCTTAAGTATCTTGTTTTATCTGCATCAATTTTTAGATTAGAGATAGTTTACAGTCAGGATTATTTTAGTATCAGCATAGTCTGGAATAGCACAGCAGTCACACAGCCTCTCTACAGGTTAGAGGTGTGAATTCCATCTCTATCCAGCTACTGCAAAGATTCCTGCACATAACCTGCCTAACTTGAGCTTTGCTCACTTTTAATCTATCCTGTAGTAAAATATGTTTCTGGAAGCTGGGGAAAAAAACCCTCCCTAGCCACATTTTATCTACCGCTTTTTAAAAAAAAAACAAATAAATTATTTTTGTAAAAACTAAATTATTTCCTTTCTAATATATGAAAGCATTAAGGTAGGTTAAATGTCAAACCTAAAATGTTGCTAGAAATAAGTTAGGTAAAATATGGTGTGTTGGTCTCCATGTCAACTAGTTACATATCAAATGTTTCAGATTTTTTTCCCCACTAATCACCATTCATGCAAAATACAGCTTGGGTTTTGAGAGTCAGGCACCTGGCACACATTAAAACAATGGCACAGTTGGGATCAGAGGAATTTTATGCCCCATCCCAGATGTGCCTAGCAATGGACATGTTTGGGGTAAGGCATAAAATTGCTCCAGTCCCAGTCGTGCCACTGCACAGTTGCCTCCAGCCTGATCCTGTGAGTTAGGCAGAGGATAGCTCTGTCATGGAACCAGTTCCAGACTCTCTAGGGCTCTCTGGGGCCAGGGCTGCCAATCAGCTAATTGTCAGCCTCAGCCCTGGGACAGCCCTGCATCCCATGGTGCTACACATTCAATGTATGGCACCATACAAATGAGCCACAAAGATGTTCCACATATTTTGGGGAATATCTTTGTGGTTGGTTTGCCACTTTATGGCACCACAAATAAGCTGCACATGTAGCAATGTTTATGGTCCAAGTAACACCTTAATCACATTATAATTGTAAGTGTGCCAGATTTTTCTCTCTGGGCCCCAAACCAGAGGTGCTCAACCCCTGGCCCACAGGCCAGATCCAACTCCCAGTACCATGCCAGGCTTCCCACAGATATAAATGTTTGGCAGCAGAGAGTGGTGGTAGCCTTGATTGCCACTTTTCTGCTGTCAAACTTCTGGACCCATAGGGAGCCCTGCGGTGCACTGGGTTGTCCACAGATGGATCCATGTGTACAGGGTTGGGCTAGTGCACAGCAGGATCAGGCTGGTGAGGAAGGTTGGGCAGTGCACCACTGCCATAAATTATAGCTCTATATCCCTGTTCTCTTACAATTATACTTTTGATGATACCTGTGCAGCTTCATTGCCTTAACATACCATACCACAGGCTTAATTTTTCAGTTTAAAAGTTGCTGACAGTTTAAAAGGTGCACAGTCCCACCAGAGGAAATGCCCTGTTGGACCTGGTCCTGGCCACAGGCGATGACCTGGTAAGGGGCCTCCAGGTTCTTAACCACCTGGGTGATAGCGATCATCGCTTGCTGGAATTCACCATCCAGCGCAGGGTGTCAAGGGTGTGCAGCAAGGCGGTAGCCCTAGACTTCAAGAGGGCCAACTTCAACGAGTTGAGGAGATTAGTGGGAGAGGCGCTGGGGTTCTCAAGAGCAGGGGAGCTCGGTGCCCAAGATGAGTGGTCGTTCCTTAAGGAGATGATACTCAGGGCCTAAGGGGTGACCATCCCAACAAAAAGCAAGGGGGGCAGGAGTGCCCGAAAGCCCCCCTGGTTCACCAAGGGTGTATGGAAATGCCTGATTGCCAAAAAGGCGGCGTACACCTGGTGGAAGGGGGTGCTATCTCCAAAGAGGAGTATACCTCCTCTTCTTGGGCCTGTAGGGGGGTTGTCAGGAAAGCTAAGGTGGACATAGAGCTAGGACTTGCATCCAAAATCAAAGATAATAAAAAGTCCTTTTTCAAATATATAGGGAGGATGAAGAAAGCACCGGGAAATGTGGGGCCTCTGCAAGATCCTCTGGGCAATCTGGTGGTTGCGCCAGAGGAGAAAGCAGACCTCTTTAACCAATTCTTCACCTCCATTTTCTTGTGCAGGGACCGGGACTTCCCCACTGTGGTGCAAGAGGGACTCGAAGGGAATGCCTCCAGGCCTCAGGTTGGGGAGGACTGATTTAGAGAGCTTCTGGAGGGGCTGGACGTGTTCAAATCAGTGGGTCCAGATGCTCTCCACCCCAGGGTGTTGAGGGAGCTAGCAGGGGTTATTGCAGGGCCCTTGGCATGGCTTTATGAGCACTCGTGGTGCTCGGGCCAGGTGCCGGATGATTGGAAGATAGCCAACGTGGTCCCCATCTTTAAAAAAGGGA